CATGTAACACTCCAAAGAGAAAGGAAAACTTGAAATCGCATCATATGACTCCTTTAAAACCACAGTTTAGGCTTTCAGTTAGGAGCAAAAATCTGCCTTTAAACTTGAAAGAAATAAAGATTTGAAATGTATTGTAATAATTATCAGTATCGATTGACATGAAAAATGTTATTGTGATCATTTTTTTGGACATATCGCCCAGCCCTATTAACAAAAATGTATCAATATTGAGCACATTTTTGCTGTATTTTTGATCAAATAAATGTAGCCTTGGTCAGACTTCTTTCAAAACCATAAAAAAAATCTTATCAACCCCAAACATTTGAAAGATGATATATATATATATATATATATATATATATATATATAGTAATGTATTATATTGTTTATAAATTATGACAATTTTGCAGATACTCGAGGTGAAGAGTACTATGAAACAAGCAAAGATGGACAAAAATAAAAACATTGACCGTGACAAGGTAATCAGTCATTTTTTTAAATGCATATGTGCTACATTACATTAATATTGTATATGTAATATGGCATATTTTTAAACATCATATACATTCAATTTTGTCTATATGATTTCCCTGGGAATCCCAGGGCGTTGCTAGCACTTTGCTGTTTGAGCTACATGAACACAATGACCTACTAGGCCTGTCACTGTAATATTAATACATGTAAATGTTTTATTGTAAGCACACTGTGTATTAAACCATTTAGAGATTTTATTTTGCCACTTGAGGTCCAAAAAGCAAAAACAGTTGAAAACACTGCAGTGCAGGACAGCATGACATTTTAGACATGCCACATTTAGTAAGAGCATGATTGATCAATCTGAAACATGTCTCCCTTTTTTAATCTAACATCTCGATCCGCAGGCATACTTGGATGAGCTGGTTGAGCTTCACAGAAGACTAATGGCACTAAGGGAAAGGCACATATTACAGCAGGTAATAAATGAGAAGCATGTACTGTCAGAAGTCAGCTTTCCTAAATCACTCACTTCTGCACAGACAGTTGCACTAAGGGACCTTTGCACATGAGACGCAATGCTGTATTCCCTGTGTTCCCTTTATGAGGGAACATGAGAAGGGACACTTACAAATTCCCTCTCAATGTCCAAAGAAACTGAGTGCTTTACCTAAAACTTTAGAAACCTGTAAAGTTTAAAGTTAGTACCCACAGCATTAACATGTCAATGAATATCTGGCTGTATTAAATCATACTGGTAACAGTAGGTTTTCTCTTCCTTCAAGTGCTTGCCAAGTAAACTCTTTGCGGCCCATAATTCCTGTTCTTTGAGGCCTATTTGCTTTGACACAATGGAGAGCAATACTTCTCTAGTTCCAAGCATTTGCCGTGCCCTTCTGTTGCAAAGCCTGTTGTGGTGTAATCTGGAAGACGTCCCAAATGAGGTCCAAACGGTGCAAACGTACATCTTAATCAAGCTAATCCTGCAGTTCTGTGAAATAATCAGCCTCCTCCGGAATAAGATATGGCATTGATTAACTTCCACGATTAGCCCTTAACACAAATTGGAAAATTCGTTGATGTCATTGGCAAGCTTTATTCGTTGTTATCCGGCCACAAGAAATTGTTCTATGAGGGACATTATTTCTCAAATATAAAATGATGACCTTGATACAGGATGATTGAATGACTGTGTGATGTAGCCTATTAGAATGCAGTTATATGCCACTAAAATTCAGGATTTAAGGGCAAACAATGCCCCTGTATGGGTTTTTATATTTATATAATATGATATAGTTTAGCCAATGAAAATAGTTCCAAACAAAGCCAAACTGTTGTGCGTCTCAGAGAAACACACATTGGTGTTTTATTACTGAATGAGTCCACGTTTTTCAATGAATCGAGTGAGCCAATGATTCAGTGACCCATTCATAAAGACAGTCGCTCAGTCGTTTTGTTTCTGAATGAATCAGCCATTTGAAGGAATTGGTTAAATGAATGATTGAATGACTCATTAAGACGGCAACTTGTTGCCACCTACTGGCAGTTTTAGTTTCATTTTTAGAGTGTCATTTAATTTTTTTTAAATCCCATTAATCTCATAGCCTTATGTATGCAATTCTAATTGCAATTCCTTTGCCCAAAATTATGTGTAATTAATTTGCTTTTAATTCGATTACATAATCTGCACATCATGTTAATAATTAGGTTAAAATTTTATTACATTTTTTAAATTATTTTATTTTATTGTAAACTTTTTAAGATCATTTATGTATAATATCTAAAAATAAAAAAAATATATAAACATGGAACCACCATGTAACTATATAATCCATCAGTTTTTTATATATTTTATAAATTTCTTCTTTTTTAAATATTGTATTATGTTTAATTACATTACTTATATTAGCAACAACTTTTACAATGGTTTGTTGTCTGCTTAAACTTATTACATTTTAACCATTAGCAGTACATCCACGGTGGTTTGTCCAGGCTACAGGCGTTCGAACAGCTGACTTCTATCTTCAATGTCTTAGCAGGCCTCTGGGTCTCCCTGTGATTCAGGAGAAATGGAAGAAATTCCTTCCATATGCGGCTTTTGCTTTGTAGTGTGAAACGGATCAGGTTTGGGTCCCATTACGGCTCATGTGACCACTCTGCAGCCCCCCTTCTCTTCATAATCACCAAATTCAGTCCCTCTTCTGAAGCAGCGAGGGCTGGAACCAATAACAGGCTGCTTTGGTAAAGCATCTTCCTCATTAATATCAGACATGCGATATCATGCAAACGGAGGCTGCTCACTGTCAGTGGAGCTTTGTGAACGGATTGGCCACCTATTATTGAGAATGCTGCTGAATGACTAATTTTGGTGCTGATTAAACTCGATTTTTATGTCTTCTGAAGAAAATGTGAGGGATGCCCCCTCCCCCCATCTTAATCAAATTCCCTCTTTTTTTCTTGCAGATTGTGAACCTCATTGAGGAAACGGGACACTTTCACATCACAAACACTACTTTTGACTTTGACCTCTGCTCTCTGGACAAAACCACAGTTCGGAAGCTGCAAAGCTACCTGGAGACTTCTGGATCATCTTGAAGACTTGTGCAGCTGGCTGCCACGAGGAGGAAAATCACACCTCCCTTTTTCCCTCCTTTTGTTTTTTCTCCTAAATTGAAAACTTGTAAGGCAATGGAAAGGATCCGCTTTCATTCCAGAGCTCCTCTCGTCTCTCGAAAGGCCTCAGAAATCATTATTACATGAGTCTGGAGATTCTTACGCTCCACCTGGACTTCACCCAAAAAGCCTTGATAATCCGACATTGCCAAAAAATGTTCTTGCTCCAAAACAAAATACATTTGTGTATATTGTATGAATGTTTGATACGTTTTTTGTGACGAATGCATGCTTCAACACTGCCTTACCACATTGACTATTTATTGAGTATGAGTTTCAAGTGTGTGTGTGTGTGTGTGTGTGTGTGTGTGTGTGTAAGTGCAAATTATATTAAACTTGTGCAAGCACTTGAGAACATCATCTCATCGGCAATGAAACGTCTCTTAACATCCACTGTTTTTATGGATCACAAGCAATGTTTTTCATGCTGTACATGTAAAATGAACGGTTTCAGATTATGCTGGACGGAGGAAGACTTTTAACTCTATTAATCAATGAATTGCACATTGTCTGCAAACTCATTTGAAAGAAGGCAGGATCTTAAGCAAATCCAGTGACCTCTATCTCAAATGTTTCTTAACGTCGTTGCAGTAGGAAAGTGTAATGTTGAATCCTCTAATGTTATTTATTGTTTTTGGGACCACAGTTCCCATGGCTGTTCATTGGTTGTCCCCAAAACAGTTGGAAAAAGCCAAGTCTTAATTGTAGTTTGGGAGTTCTTTGTTGATCTGAGGAAATCAAGAAGTGATCACAGTTAACTTTTCAGTTCCATTGTTTTTTTGTTTTTAATTGGATTATTTGATGGGCTAATATCAGCATATTGTGCAGTTGAGTTGTAGCCCTCAAGTTGTGCTTTGTGCAAAAGCAACATCATTCACTTTTCATTTCCTTATAATGTTGAATCAGATAAGCCAACCATAAATCTAGATATTTTGGGAGACACGGTGATGGTGGTGGTGGGGTTGAGAAGGGTTTAGACTAAATAATTGGCGCTGTGAAGTGTTTGAATTTATCAGAGAATTTTTTTTATTGTTTTTGTTGAATGAAAATCATGCCTTGTACACTTTATTATTGTTTATTTCCCAGATTCATTTTTTCAGCCCAAAAAGCTTTTAGTTTAGTTATCATTATATAACGTTTATATGTGTACATAAACTTTATATGTGATAAAAAAAAAAGTGATTATCTTTCCTTTCTTGGAAGGCACTGAACTGCTTCCAGTAGAAAGTTCGTGATCATGATATAAATTCAAAACAGAGTCGTTGTGGATGTGTAGTTACTGACCAGTGAACATTTTATCATTGATGTTAGGAATGGTTTTTGTTTAATGGACGGGAATAGCTGGTGAATATACAATCATCTGAATATCCCTTGTGCTGTGCTGAATATCCTTTACCTAACTTGATGTTCCTGTTATGACCCGGCCTTTTAAAAATTGCTTGTAAATCTCTCATAATGCTATATTCTCATCAAATCTTGGATTCAATCTTGTATGCACTTTAGTTTTTGAGTGAAAAAAGCATTATTTGTGGATAATTTTAGGATAATATGTTCACTCAAAATCTGAGGTGCGTAAGCTCAGATCAATGAGGCCCATGATCAGTCAGTTCCACAAAGTAACAGAAAACTTGTGGTAATTGAAAGAAAACAAATTGAAAAAAGATTGAATTCAGTGTTTGGTAATAATACAGCAAAATTATAAATTTATAAGCAATTTTTGTAGGCCGGTCATTTTAAACCGGGAAAAATCCCCCCAAAAAAGTTCAAAATGTATACATTTTTGGGTGGAAAGTTGTTATAGCATGTGCGCAAAGACAGTAAGTTTAAGTCCAATGTGATATCATTAATGTTGACTAGCAATTTTGTGGGGTAAAAATCCTCTATGGGACAAAATGACTGGAACACAACATGAGCAATAAACTTAAAAATATATTAATCTAAAGTAAAATAAATTGGGCCCTTTCTGGCATTGAAATGAAGAGCATTTTTTGTCAATTCATCCTAGGAAAGTGAAAGAACACGGTGAGTTTCCTTCTACCTTCCTCCTTCCCTCACGCATTCATCGTCACAACATTTCTGAGTTTTTTCCCAGATGTGTTTTCGTCCAGTGACATGAGTTTGAGTTATATGCAGTTGCTTCACCATGTTGTCATCCTTGGTGTTTGTTCATGTCTTGGCAGTCTCATCAAAACCTTTTAAGAGTCCTTAGAGTGCATAAAAAAAGCAACCGCATATGGGGAAAAGTTCATGAACATGGTTTATTAATGCGTTAGACAGCCTGGGGTCAAATCCCTGATTCTTTCTCATTCTGATTAGTGTGGGTGGTCTAGCTATGAAATGGGAATGTACTCCAAAACATTGCTATATCCTAAAGTAGCGCAGTGTGAGTTGTAGCCTTTTAATACAAAAGGAGGCGACCAATCTTTATTATATTGGTGGAGTCCTCAGAAGAAGGTGAAATGTACAGTACAGCAAAACTTCAGCATGGGTTCAACAATAAGATGATAAAATCATGCAAGTAGTTTATATTTGTACTCGTACAAATATTTTAACTGGCATATTTTAATTTTTTAGAAATATTTAGATTGTATGAGGGGAAAAATAAAAAATGTAAAGGCTCATAAGCACATTTTTTTGTTATTTAAATATACAAATTTGTTTATGCAGCTCAATAACTTATAATTCCCCATAATAGCTGGAAACTGGATACAGTTACATAACTCCATACCATATATACGTTCATAAACACACTTTATGAAAAATGGGATACATTATAATTGATACCTCCAGGACTTTCATGAGCCATTCTTAAAACTTTTAAATAATGATAATGTATAATCTATGCCATTCAGATAACTTTACTATGATGACTTCAGTAAATCTGCAGAATCCACAATTCTCTGATGCTTTGGCTGCACATTATAAAGCCTCTAAAGTATACATTCCTTGTTTATAGCCATGAAAACGGACAAATTTGGCATTTTAAGCTGTTATTTGAGGAGTTCAGGGCTCAAGTGTCTGACTGATTCGGGAAGAAGCGGTTGGAGCTCCAGTAATAGCGAATGCTTTAAATGACTGTACTGCTAAACTCAGACTCGGGCTCTACAAAGCCTCTGTTGTTCAGTGATTCACAGAGGCTGAGGGATGGGAAGTGTGAGCACATCTCTAACAGGCTTATGGTTAAGCCACTTCACTTAACACCAGTCCACAGCATTCATGGGAGAGCAGCTGGCTCTGGATCCAGAATCTTGCGCTGAAGGCCTGTCCTACTACAGCTGTTCCAAAAGCTTACGGGGTTGAGATGTGAGCAAGCGTCAAACATTTAACTTCTTGTTTTACTGATAATTAACGAATTAGATATTTGGGATAATTAATGAATTGAGATGTTTGGAGGTTTTTAGAGTATGAGTCATCTCCATTATGTAGTCAGTTTGTGTTGTGAGCGATGCGTGTTCGAAGTCCATCTCTAAAGGGACTGATGTGAAAAGTATGCATGCAGCTCTTATCAGACGAACATGATTCTCACCAGTAATGGAGAATAATTCACCAAGGAATATGTAAGGCACAGTTTGGTACAAGAAATGCTGATTTTAAAAGCTCAATAGCTTTAAGACAAGAATTCAGAGATGATTCGCTCATCAAGTTACTTATATCTATATCTATATTTAAATGTAAATGTTATTAAATGTTATTAAAATGAGATCATTAGTATTACAGTTTTTCTCAATTGCTTTGGCTCAATTCTCGAATGAAACTTTTTTTCCCGAAACAATAAGTTCAGATCTCTGAACAATTAGCTTCTTGTTCACATCAGATTGGAATTTCTTATTGATTTGAGCAAATTGCAAATGCTTTGGCACATGTGTGCAAACAGTAAGTACAATTGTCTGCAGTTTGCACAACAACTAATTGCATATGGCTTGTTGATCAAAAAATAGAAGAGTTTTTTTCAGCATGGAGGTGGAAAGTATATGATCCTAGACCACAAGATCAGATGTCTCTGTTGGATGCCTTGAATGCTGCATGTGAGGACATCACAGCTGATCATTGCAGGGGATGGGTGCGGCATGTGCCAAAGCAATTGAGAAAAACTGTATTAGAAATGCGCTATATACAGTATTATTGTTATTATTAAATGTGATTTATATGAATTATTAGAAAGAAAGAAACAAAGATAGATTGATGGATGGATGGACAGATGAATAGATAGATAGATAGATAGAATGAACGAACGAACGAACGAACGATAGATAGATAGAATGAACGAACGATAGATAGATAGATAGATAGATAGATAGATAGATAGAATGAACGAACAATAGATAGAATGACAAAATGAACGATAGATAGATAGATAGATAGATAGATAGATAGACCAAACGAACGAACGAACGAAAGATAGATAGATAAATAGATACTGAATCTGTGAAAAGTATAAATTAGAAGAGAATTCAATCCAATACCCTGATGTTGCATGACTAATTGGATTTTTTTGTTGGATCTACAAATGCAGAGTGAGAAAGTGGCCATGAGAACTACAGAAGAACTATAGACGAGTGTGAGAGAGAGATGAGGTGGGGTTCTTTGTAATCCATGTCATGCTGTCCCTCCCACCCAACACCTGTTCATTACTTCATAAATCTGAGCCATGAGCCAATTAAAAAAACCACAGCAAGTTAGATACCAAAGCTTTGATGGGTTTGGGCACAAAAAGTAAAAAATAAATAAATAAAATGTCCCAAGCGACGTTTTGAGACCGACGACTTTTCTTTTGGCACCATCTGTTAACACACAGCAAAGTTATTCACTCTTTGAAAGCCTTATTAGGTCAAAATGGTCTTCCTGTTGAATAAAATGAGTACATTAATAAGTGTTTACCTTTTTCATTTTTCATAATTTACAGAGATGGCTGTTATATACTGAGATCATTTTATCTGATATGAAAAGCTTTTTTTCAACTGTGGCTCTTTCAAGTCCACCTCCTCAAATGCTGGACATAAACACTGCTCACGTTCATGGAGATAGTCTCGCACGGCGGGTAGTCTGTCTGTGTTTGAGACACACCAGAAGGAAATCATTGTGTCCCCTTCTTTCCCTGAAGCCTTCTAAATGACGAAGAACAAGAGGGAAGAAAAAAAACTGCTCTACTTTCAAGATCCTGGATTAACTTAAACCATTTCACAGTGTTGGGTGGGGGTTCACAGTCAGGACGAGCAGCGGGACATCCTGTTTGAGCTTCCAAATACCATTTCCTCCTATAAAAAAGAGGAGAGACCTTAGAAATCAGCTCCCACAGAAGACATAGCAGTACATTTGTCATCTTCCTGGCACAAGTCCGATGACCAGAGAAAAGATGCAGCGGAGCATTTGAAGGGCAGTTAAAATGGCATAAACTATGTCATTAAAAAGAAAGGAAGGTGAAAAGTCCTGAAATTAAATGGATTTTCCAGATTTTTTTCCAGCTTTCCATTTCCATTTCAAAAGCCAGAAATTGATTTATGCACCAGTGTTGTGTACCATTCACATCTGAAATTCCTCAACTTGAGTTGAATTACAGTATAACACACTGAAAAGAATTGGTGTAAAAACTATTTTCAATCAGAAACTGCTAGTGAATTTCACTATTAATTGCAAAGAAACGGCAGGCAACAAATTAAAATTAATGTGAAATTTTTAAGTACATTTTTGTTTAAAATTTACAGTGCAAAAAGCAGAATTGTATTTTAAATAAAAGGATTCAAATAAATTAAATTATTACATTATTATTAAAATGAATGTCATAGATTATATATATATATAATGAAATTAATATTAAAATTAATAATGATTTTTAATCAAATTAATATCGATAATGCAGAGAAATATGTAAAAGAAAAAAATTCAGGGCATAAATATTCGAAATTAGTTATTATTTATATCCTATAATTTCTTATGTTGTGATTCAAATTCCAATTAATTAAAAGTGAAACAATCGTTCAATTCTAAATTAAAATTGTTAAATTAAGCATAAAGATTTATCTCTCTGCTTTGGAGAAACTCCCTGTGAAAATTTTAACTGAAGCCACATTCAAGCTTCACAATTACACTGGAACAAAACCAGAGCAAATATTTGTCCATCTGTGTAATCTGTCGGCTCGCTCTGCATGGTCGTCATGTTTGGGAGTAAGTGGTTTAGTCGGGAAATTAATCGAGAGAGAAAAACAAAAAAAGCCCCATCCCCATCTTCCTATTCTCTGAGTGATTTCATCCAGCAAGCCTTTAATCCTCCATTGTGTGCAAATGTGCACACAGTGACAATAATTCTAAGGTCTCTTATCATATGTTCTAGCTCAGTCATACCTGGGCCTCTTTTTCAGACGTCTGTTTGGTTTGACCTCCTTGTGAAGAATTCTGGGTGGCAGCTATGTCACTGGAAAGGCATACAAATTAGCTTTTTCAAAAAAAT